CCGAAGACGACGGCGTTGGCGTCGAGGAGGCCCTGTCAGGAAGGAGATCCTAGTGGGCAGCCGGCCGCCTCCGCGGGAGGGGAGTGCGGTGATGCCTCGGAGGTGTTGGCGCTGGAGTGGTTGGAGTTGCAGGTTAGATCCAAGGGCAGTCCTCTGGTGCGGGTGAAGGCCGACGTGGTGGATCTGGCCTTGCACGACATGGGTGGATGTTGCTGTTCCTCAGTCGTGTTTAAGGTGGTGGCTTGGGTCGCGTTCTCTCGGCAGTGCGGGTGGGGGAGAACCACGGCCACGCGGCTTCGACAACAAATTGTTGCGGTGACAGCGGTGCTGAGGCATCATGGTTCGTGCTGCCTGAGACTTTGGGGGTGTGGAGATGCGCGGCATTATGGATGAAAATCCTGTCTGGTTCTGACCGGGCCGGCGATGATGGCACCTGTGGGTGTCGTTCCCCTTCCTGGAGGCATCGCCGAGTGTGTCACCATTTCCCTCGCCTCCTTGGTGCTGGCAGTTGTCTCCGGACAAAAGCCTTGATTCGGTGCTGGATCGCACGTTGGCGGCGTCTTCCACGTAGTCCTTCTGTTGGGAGCATCTTGCGAGGAGACATGGTGATCCTATCTTGCACTCCTCCGGTGTTCGTCGTTGCCCTGATCGACCGGCTCCGGCGTAATGTACAATCGTCACCGGTGATTCGAAGACGGTGCCTTCTTCGGGTCGGATCGAGTCCCTCCATCCTCTTGCCACCTCCTTAGGCATTTAAGGGGGATGTCGCGTCGACAAGAGAAGCTTGGCAGGAGCTGATGTTCTTCAGAGGTGACTGACGTCGGTCGAGACACGGCGAGGCTCTCGGTTTTTGGGTTGGCTCTTTTGTGTTGTAGTTGTAGCGTCGTGTGTGGCCGTCCATGGAATAGCCGGATGTGAAGTTGTGCTACGCTCGTTGTTCGCAGCGTGTGGTAGTCCTCTTGTACTTGCAATTCTCTTTTTCTATAAAGCTGTGGTATGCTATGTACATACTCTAGGAAAAAGACAAAGCTACTTCAAGTCGAAAAAGACTACAAAAAAGATCATTCAGAACGATCAATTAGAAAAGGTGGTGCCTAGGAGTCCAGGACAAGTTAGCGAAAGTGAGCACATGCTGGCAACAAAAGAGAAGGACTAAAAAGTGTCTAAGTGGTGCGTAGTTTAATTAATCGACACGACGATCACCGCATAAAAGAGCCAATGTCATGCATGGGACGTGCAAAGGTGGCGACGCACGGCACGCCAAGCTATTCTCTACTGTGCTTGGGGCGAAGAAAGTGTGAAAGCAGCACAAAGCTGCGGGGCATCGAATCCATCGTAAGTCCCACACTCCGACTTGCATGGGAACGAACGAACGAACTCACACAACTTGACGTACTCGGCCGACTATCAGAGGTCGGCAGCGACGCCGCCACATGTACACGTACCGTCGCTGGCACGCGGGCCCGCCCGTCGACACTGCATGGTAGCACCACGCGCGCAATCGGCCAAGCTACCAACGGAGCTGGAAACTTCGTGCATGCATCCAGCGACTCTTAATTCTCGTCGTTGACGCGTACTACTACAAGTCGTCGCGGTGGCAGCAGCTAGAATAGACAAGGCGCCATGCCGAGTGCGCGCACGACGTCTTACGCTCGACGATATGGTAGGATATACAATGGCCCCAACGACAGCCGGGTGCAAAGCATGCCTGCATAGACAAATGGGATCGGTTTGGCCGCATCGTACTTTCCTATTTGTCCTACGTCGCGTAGATGAGCTTTGCTCCCATTTTATGTTAAAGATAGGACATCCTTCGACTAATCATGCACGCACAGGATCGGTTAGATTAGCTAAAGCTCTCGCGTGGAGAGGAGTGGTTGCCTCCGCCGTGTCCTTGGCCGCCATGCTCCCATTTTATGTTAAAGTTTGTTTACCGAAAGCTAGTAGCCAGCCAAAGGGAACCGCGTCCAACTCGGTCGATGGTGCGTACGGTTCGGCCCAGAGAGTCGACGGACGGACAGCGGCACAAGTTAGCTTCGCCGTAGCATCGCCGAACGTACGGGGGGCAGCCTACCTGCTCCTTCGGGCTACCGGACGGCCGCGGGGCGCTCGAACGCGGGGAGATTAATTCAGACGAAGAAATGGAGAAGAATCGTGCGGATTCGCAGTGTTTCAGCGCGTCGCGGGCTGTGATTTTCTGGTTCGTAGAAGGAACGGAAATGGCCCGTGCTGGAAACTAATAATGTGCAGTGTACATGACGCCTCGCCTAAAGTGCATGCGCGGGTTCTGCCGTGTTCGGCTACCTGCGGCGTAGGCTTCGGCTCCATGTGTAATTTTTTTTTAAAAAAATTGTTTGCGGATAAGCTCCATGAGTATTTTTGAGGGGGGGGGGTTCATGAGGCTTCACGAGTTGATTCCTGGGATGGGAGGAAAGAAGTGATGCACGTGGCACAAAGCCAAAACAGTCATGTGGCTCGCATGGTTTTGTTTGCTTTCTTCGAAGGAAAACTTTTATTTAGGACGGTTGCTATCCTTGGTTAAGGAAAAACAGCGGGGCAGGGCCCCCTAATTAACCAACCGGATGAAAGCAGCGCTTATCTTGATCTGAGCATTTCCATCGCCCACAAAACACGTGATACATTCGCAAAAGGAAGCCCGTTCCATTTTTCACCACCCAGCCCACGAGGCAGTTTACCTAGCGGGCACGCGATTAATCACGCAGCTCTTGGCGTCCATCCGATGCCAATCCACGGATTCGAGCCATTCATCCAGCCAGCCAGCGCAGTGCATCACAGCCTCTCGTTTTTTTACTGCCAGGTGCGTGCATGCGTCCGGCCCGAAACGGGAAGGAGGAGACGGTTGCCGGTCGTCGCGCCAGCGCGAGGACGCCCGTTTTCGAATTCGCGCACGCACGCACGGTTGATCTGCCACCTTCCCCCTCGCCTCGCCGTGCCGCTCGCGCGCGGCATGCGCCGGCCAGCCAGCCAACCGCCCACGTTTTCCCTCACGTCCCGCCCGTCCCTCCCTAACCACCATCGGGTCGCCACGCCACGCCACGCCGCACCGCCCCTCCCTCCCTCCCTCAACTGCATGGCAACCAACTCCTCGTCTCGTCTCCACCCCCTGCCTCTTGTCGCGTCCGTCTATATAACGCCGGGTCCGCGGCGGCCACGATCGAACGGCGACCCCGGTTGGTGGAGTGCTTAGCGAAGGCCATCGATCGCCACCGAAAACCTCCCTCTATCTCGTCTCGGCTCGCCTCGCCCACTAGCCCGTCCGTCCGTCCGGCTGACGATGCCGCCGATGGCGACCACGACGGCGACGGCGACGGCGACTGACTCCGCGGCGCGCCGCTTCGCCTCGGCCTGCGGCGTGCTCAGCCAGTACGTCAAGGCGTCCGGCGTCCAGGAACCCGGCTATCAGGCGGACGGGGCGCAGCAGCTGACGATCTTCTACGGGGGGAGGGTGGTGGTGCTCGACCGCTGCACGCCGGCCAGGGCCGCCGAGCTGATCCGGTTCGCCGCGGCGGCGGCGGCGGCCTCGCAGGGAGCGCCTGTCGTACAGCCGCCTGCCCCGGCGTTCGTCGACATGCCGATCGCGAGGAAGGCGTCGATGCAGCGGTTCCTGTCGAAGCGCAAGGACAGATCCGCCCCGGCCCCGGCCCCAGCCCCCGAGGGTCCGCCGTACGCGCATCATGAGGAAGTGGCGCCGCCCAAGAAGAAGGGCAAGACGGAAGCTTCTTCCTGGCTCGCCCTGGGTAGCTTAGGGGACATGCACGCGCCGTGAATGATCGCCTCAACATGCACGGCAACGTTGGTACATCGAGCTGTGATCAAGTCGAGAGTTGAATTAACCCTTACTTCCGTAGCACGGTCTTACCATTGATCAATTCAAGCCACATGTCGTGGCATCCATGCTCGCTGAAGAGCGCGTTAACATAATCGTAGTAGCCATCGATTTAACCCATGCACTAAGTTTCTTATTTTATTTATGTTGTATGAACCGCATGTTGCCAAGTTGCTCGCCTCATATATACGGATGCGCCATTTATATATTTTATTAAATTAAATTTAGAACGAGCAATGAGTTTGTGCAAACACTATCGTATATGGTATTACATACAAGAAAAAATTGGTATAAAACCGTTAATCATGGGGGGAAATTTCAACACAAGAATTTAATGAATTTCATGTCACATCCAGAAATATTTCAATTATAGTAGTTCATATAAAGTGAAAAAAAATACAACCCTGATGAGGAAAAAAATATTTCCATACAAATTTCATAATAAGATGTTTATTCATCCTGTGTTTCTATACATAGTGCTAATACTATGTATAAATATCATACACATGTATTCTGATAATAATAATAACAGTCAGAATTATGTCCTGATGACCCTATAAAATTCAAACAACATGTGTATTAATATCAGAATGCATGTGTATGATATGCCTAAAAGGATCTGTTTTTTCCTCATTTTCTCTAGTTTTCTATAATAATGTGGTGTATTTTTTTGAACATAATACAGACGCAGACACTCATACATATACCTATACACTCACCACAATGAACGCACACACGCACACACAACCAACCCCTGTAAGCACCTCCGAGAGACCGAGCCGACTCGTCATCTTGAGATTAATGAAGTTACCACATACGTCTTCATGGTCGACAAGAATGTCTCCTCCCGTTAAACGCACACCACTGAAAGGCCTGAAATAAATCCAGAAAAACAATGTGGTGTTTTTGGAGTGAATTCTCCAATGCAAAAGAATGTAACATAGTATGAGTTGGCCAAAAAGGCAGTGATTAAAGTTTAGGGAAGAAATTAGTTGCGAAAAGCTTTTTAAACCTTGGATTTCGTTACCAATCAAACTTCAGATTTTTCTTAACAGGCCAAATGAACTTCCAAAATGACAAGTTATGTTGTCGCGAGGATGATAATTTCCTTTAGCAAACAATGTAAGATCTTTGCTATATTCAACCTTTTTGTCAGTAATTGCCGAGCTTGTTGAAGAAAATTTTCATCCTCGTCACAACAAAATTTGGTATAAGAAATGTTAGATTTGGCATGCTTAAAAACCTGATGTGGGATTTTTAGCATTCTAGTGAACCTTTAGCTTTTCAAATTTCAGGGAGTTAATTTATAGGTGGTGATTCGAGGAGTTAAATTTTAGAGGAAAAGCTAGAGATGCCCTTTATTACTAGGACCAAAAGCATACGATCGGTACGATGGTAGTGCGATTTACTCACACACACACGCGCGTACAGAATCAGGGATCGATATCGGTCGGCTTGGCTCGTTGTATGGGCCCGCATTGATTGCAGTTCGCAGGGGCATCGTCGTACAGGTACGCACGTCTTGTACACATTGCACCGCCGTACGTATATGTACGTATGCAGAGGGGATGCGTATGGCACACCAGTTGCAGGAACCGCACGTTGATTTCCCGTTGCTTGCTGCCTTGCCTCGTACTGTACTCCAGCTAGAGCCAGCTAGTGAGCTCGCGATCACTCACATGTTACATGCGCCTCGATCGGATTTCATGTGGAGCGGCCATGCATGCACGGTGCGGCGCTACGTACGGCGCGCCGAACTGTTAGGCGTCCCGATCGATCACGACCGCCCGCCCGCGCCCGAGATATGGATGCGGGAAAAGCACATGAGCACACACCCGTGCCTGCGGCTGCCTAACAAAATCGGGCGCGAGATATGGAGCGGGAGCGCTAGCATGCGGCACACGCGGTGCGCCTCGTGGATTATCATCCCTCACGGCGCACAGGACAGGAGGCAGTGTAGCGTCTCTTTCTTTCGATGGATCCGGGCGGGGGCACCGCTCGCTCGGCCTCGGCCGGCGTCGGCGCGTTCCCCGTGACCAGTCGATCGCCGGCCCGATGGCTTTCGGCTCCCTCCTTCTTGGTCTCTCCCGACCCACCCACCCCACGCGCGCGGCAAAGCGCCCACGGAGTACGTACGTACCATGCGCACGGAACGGACGTGTGCGATTGCCATCATGCATTGCGACGCCGGAGCGGAGCACGGGAGGGAGAGGGAATGGGAACGGCATGACGACGCCGCGTGCGTGACCTGGGGGCTAGGGAGTAAGGGTCGAAAGCGTGCCCCTCTGATGCCGTGGTTGGTTGGAAGGCGAGGTTCGCGTGATCCGCTCTGCTCGCTCGCGCTCGTCATGGGTTGAAGGTGGCGCGTCGCGCTTTTGGGGCGGCCCGGCAAGGAAGGGCAGCAGCAGTGCTGGTGGCGGGTGAATGAACGAAGGAATGAATTCAGTCATGCGTGCGAGCATGACACGGACGCCGTACGCATCCTTTTTTTTACGTACGATTAGTTGCTTGAAATGGGCGTGCACGCCCTACATGAGATGGTGAGTTTGAGCTGTACTATGTCATCACAGCTCCGCTTATTAGCGAGAAAACCCCGCCACGAAGAAACTCCAACCCATTGACCCAAACCAAACCAACACGTATTATGTCTGTTTTTTGTCTATTTGGGCCCCGTCCACTTAGCGAACATGAGGCGGACACACGTGGCCCGTCGACATGCGAGGCTGCCGGTGTGGAGCTTTCCTTCCGCGCCGCCACTTTTCCTCCCGCCGCCGCATTCCTCCGCCGACGCAGCCACTGCCTCTTCCAGATGTCGCCGCCGTGTTCCTCCCGCACCGCCCGACGCAACCACTACAAGACAACAGACACACCCAAATCAAATCAAGCACGATGGATCTTCGCCGCATCCGCTGGCACCGGAACCCGGAGGGGAGAGTCGTACATACCGGCAGTCTAGGAGGGGCGAGAGGGTGGAGCGGCCGAAGAGCACGACGAGCGCGAGCGCGGGCGCACCGATCAACAGCAGCACCGCACCTCGGCACCGCCGACCCCGCACTGCCCTCCACATGTCCGCGCTCCCACTGCCCGCTGCTAGCATGCGGCGGGGAGATCTCGGGGGATTGCAGGCTAGAAGAACCGCTGCCTCCTCTAGACGCGGTGAGCACCGCCCGCCCCGCCACAGTCGCTGCCTCCTCCAGACGGGGCCTGCACCACCGGTAGGCTGCCCCGCCGCAGTCATTGCCTTCCTCCCGCGCCGCTCGCCGCGTTCCTCCGCCACCACGGCCCGCTGCTAGCCTGCAGTCCCCCGAGATCTCCCCGCCGCGCTCCTGCAATTCCCTGAGGTCTCCACGCCGCGAGATCAAAACGAGAGGCGGTGGCCTGTGCCGGTGGCCTCGTCGCGGTGGTTGTGGAGGCAGTGCGGGGTCACTGATAGGCGGGACCAGACCGGACACGAGAGGACATGAGCGGACGAGAGCGGGCGGCGGGACCGTCCGCTTTTGTCCATCTCGGGCACATTTGTGGCTCAAACTTGGGCTCAGTTTGGGTCGAGACGGACAACGAACATACAACAGGCAGACGTTGTGTCCGTCCCCGTTGGACAAACTTTTAGTCCGGATGACCCAAACGGACAATATGGGTTGCTGGTGTTGACTATTATGTTTAGTTAGGAAATATGAGATAGACTAGGATATGTTCTGGCTTGTCTTGTACTCCAAGTTGACCATGTACTTCTATATATATGGCCACGAGGTTCAAGCAATAAAACGAACTATTCCACCAAATCCATCTATTCCTTCTAACATGGTACCAGTTTCCGGGTTCTAAACCCTAGCCGCCGCCGCTTTCGCATCCGCGCGCTAGCTCCGGGGCGGTCGGCGTCCATGACCGCCGCCGGGGGCCGCACCGCCCATACCTAGGGTTCGTCTGCCGGTCGTGTTGACCGGCTGCCCCAGAGAGTCATTTTCCCGAACCCTTGCTCCGGTTTTTTTCGGTCTCTCGTCGGTCATCGACATTCCTCTTTTTGGTTTTCTGATCTATGCTTGATCGGTTTGCGTCGCCCGCCGCCGTCGACTCCCGTGCGCCTCTACTCCAACACTGGCGCGACCGTCCGGCCTCTTCATCGACCCGGCAGCCTCGAGCGTCAGGCGGCTTGTTGTGGTACTAAGTCCGACAGTAAGAATAGGGGGTATGTATGAGGAGGTGAGGCCCCAGCTACGACGAGGTTGTACACACGAGTTTACGAGTTCAGTCCCCTCTCGGAGGAGGTAAAAGCCCTACGTCTAGGTGCCTTGAGGCGGTTGACTGGAATATGGGTGTGTGTGTTATAGGGGGTGCGAACCCTTGTCCCAGAGTAGGGGGGTGGCTTATATAGAGTGCCAGGACCCCAGCCCACCTCCGTTACAGGGGTTCAATGTACATTAAGATAGGGCGTTAGTGATAACGCCAGCTATAAAGTGTATTTAATGATCTTTAAGACTACAGAATGAACGCCTGACCATTGCCATCCTGACTGACTCCTAGTCTTCTATACTTCGAGTGGTTTCTTGTATGGTCGAATGGCTTCGTCTTGGTCGAGTGAAATTAGGAGGGTGGGTGGGGGGGGGTATCCGAGTGAGATGACTGGTCGAGTGGATTGCACTTGACGACTTTAGTTGATACTCTCTGCTGTACTTTGAATGTATTTGCTTCTAGGGTAGTGACCTTGGGTGGGGCGTATAGGTCAGGCCTATGACCCTACCCTAGGTCTATGTCATCGTCATTAGCCCCCGAATGGATTGAGGTCCGAGTGGAAAGAAGGTTGAAGTTGGTCCTGCCTTGACTCTTGTGCTTCACAAGTATTCGTACTGGATTTGAGGTCCATGCTGAAACTTCAGCTTCATTTTCAGTCGCCTTGATCGATTTGCAGAGTTTGTCGAGTGAACTTATGCTGGTACTCTTCG